AGCAAATGCAGGATCATCATAAAAGTAGAAGCAAGATCACCATGGAGTGCGAGCAAAGGTGTGGGCGGATGTGCATGGGAATGGCTTAGCTAGTTGTGATCAATTAGACTGTCTATGATAACAACTTAGGCATCAAATAGTGGAAAGATCAAATGGATCTTGCTAGTTGAAGCTTTGATGTTTCAACCTCTTGGTTTAGGTTGCTAATTTGTAGATGTTGGGCATATGATGAAATAACACCGGACATCTTGTTTTTATTGAAGATGAGATCACTAAGGGTCCATTGATGAAGATGCATCGTCTATAGGAAGTTTGATGTTTAGGATCAAGAGGTGTAAAGTTTGGATCGTTGAATCAAAATTTGTATAAAACGATGAATTTTTCGTTGTTTTGGATGAGTTTGTTTTTGAATTTTAAACTATAGATTGGAATAAAATATACTGTAATTTCCTTAAAATTGGAACTTAATGAATATGCTTTTATATATAATATTGTTTATAATTTGGAGTTTATTTAAGAATTAGTTACTTTTTGTTATAAAATCAATTTATTTGGATTATGTCTATTTTAAATTAATTGTTGTTGTAATTTTGCTTATAAATAGCTTTAGAATTTTACAAAAAAAATCAACCATTCTCTTCCAGAATCCTCTTTTTTATTTCCAATTCCTATTCTGTCTTTTTTCCTTACAATTTTCGGGTCTTATAACAGAATATTCAATGTAGCATGTACCCAAAGCTATAGCAAAAAAGCAGCTACAATGCTTAGCACTAAAGCACAACATTGGTACTACATATCAACTGTGGTACTGTATCACAATTGATGTCGACAACATTCAACAAGGAAAAAAGTCATAAATTTATTGTTGTTTACTATCTTAGTGTGAAAGTAGTCCAAAAACAATAAACTTGATTGTCGTTACATTATGTAGGAGGAGAAAACAATGAAGTGAAGTCATCTGCTTTATGAAGCAACGTTTGAGGCACCTTTAATTGATTGATAAATCTATAAAACATCTCTAGAAAAATTCCGACAATGATTTCAAACATGTATTAGCTTCATTGTGGGCTTATGTAATAACATTGATATATTGGATAAAGATCAAGTAGGCATCAAAGCATTGTTCTGTGGTGCGTTATTCAAACAAAGAGTGGATATAAATACCATGGAGGGTTTCTTCTTGTTACGGAGTCACATTGAAATCCAAGAAAGAGACAAGTATAGGAAGAAGAAATACAATCAATGTTTAATAACAATGAGGGATAAGTATGGTCATCATGGAATGGATGAGGATGCAAACAATCACTATTGCGACTAGTGAGTCTACTCATATTCCCCTATGTTTAAATGCATAAACAATTCAAAGAGAATTGATTCACATTGTGTGGGTATGAAGCCCATGATAGGGTTGCTTTGCTTGTTCAAAGTTAAATCGTTATGCTCTGACATTGTGGATGCCCATGTAAAGATGAATGGCTACTAAGATGAAAATTAGTGGATGTTCAAACAATTATTACATCAAGGGTTCTCTCAATGGGGATATATAGTTAATCGATAGGTGAAGTAACATAGTTCGGGGCAATGTTAAGGACAATTTGTGCAGAATTACACCACTGCATTTCAATACCAGACAGTTGCTTTAAGAGTGAATCTTAAAGATATACAAAATTTGATGAAGCACACCTCAGAGCTTTATTCTCAAATTGCAAATGAGCTCCACTTGGCTCTTATTGTTGATCTTAGGTAGGACAATATGATGATGGTGCTTATAGAATTAAGACAGAGGAAAGAAGACTAACGAAATATTAGTTGTAATTTTTTTTTCCCTCAAAAGTAAAAGGAAAATAAGTTTGATGATTGCCCTTCTCTTATCCTTACAAAACCAATGACTTAAATAAGTTTTGTGGTTATTGTTAAATACTTGGTCACGTATGATGCACCGATATAGACGAGATGATACACATATACAGTATGACACAGATATTATACATATTTATTATTGAAAATATAGGATTAAGACATACATTGAACATAGAATTATAGTATTATATCTCAAAAATTAAAAATTATAAAATACTTATTGAAAGTAAATAAATATAATATGAATTCATATAAAATTACATTTATGTCAACTTCTCATTAAATAATAAATATATTTAAATTTATTAAAACATTTAAACTAAATTAAATAAGAAATAATCATGTGGTATTATATAGTGCTAGCTTGAAATTGTGAAAAGTTATTAATTTTTAAAAAAGAAAATAAATAAATTTTATGAAAACTTAGCAAAATAGCATAATAAGAAAAATAATATTAGTACTAAATAGCTATTAAGTTATTTAATTAATACATTTTAAAATAATAGTGAATAATTGGATTAACTAATGTTATTCATGTAATAGACTTAAGTTAAATTTTTTTATTTAGGACGTGTCTTAGACTTGCGCGTCTATCGATTTTTTTTTTCAAATTGGACACATAAATGGTGTGCCCGATACATATTGGGCAAGTCCTTCCGTCTTGTGTGTGTCTGACACAACAAATTTCATTATTGTACAGTATCGTTGTACATAGTCAGTTAAAAAAAAAAAAATCTTGAAACTGTACCTTGACCTCTTCCCTAAAAAAAGGAAAAAAATTATTGTTTTGGTGGAAAACACTGCTAAGTTCATTGGATAAGGTGAACTCATATCTATCTTTGAGACAGTGATGAAGATATAACAATAAGTTCATCCTCTAATGTGGTCACACGGTAGGAGTTGTTCACCTTGAAGATATAGGTCAAATAAGAGGTGATATGTCATCATTGACATTGATGACCAGAATAACCTCATTTTTTGCAAAGTTAATACATAGATTATGGTTGTAAAACATATCCCATCCCTGTCTTCATCATTTGGGTTTGATTTTAAAGAAGTCAAATAAGAAGATTGATCTTGAGCGATGTTCAAAGTTTGTAATATCTAGAAAGTTGCCTAAAATATTTCTGAATTTGTTCTAGCCTCTCATTCTTGCTTATAAATAATGTTGAGAGGTTGATTGCTATGCTGTGTCAAATATCAGCAGGAGAACAACACTAAATAAAGACGAACTCATCTATTTCTTTGATGACAACGCCAAAGGATAGGGAATGAGATCGTTCTCTAATATGGATACAGATGAGGAGTTGATCATCTTGAGGATGTTGGCTAAATAAGAGGTGATCAACACCATCATTGACGGCAATAATAATAATCTTATTTCTGCCAATTTAATGTAAAAATTATGATGGACAATATATCCCATCCTAGCCTTACCTTTTGTGTTAGATTCCGAAGAAATAATAGAAGAAGATTAATCACCGATGATCTTTTAAGTTTGTGATCTCCAGAAAAAAATTTAATATTTTTCTGAATCTGTTCTAGACTTTGATTGTGGCTTAAACAATAACGTGGTTGATTAGTGTGTTATGTTATCAATATCAATATGAGAGCAGCACAAACTAAATCAATTGCAATACTTGTATGAGTGTTTTTAAAGAGACTAGAAGATAGTTTAGGAAAGAATAGCTTAATTCATTTTTTAGGCAATTTGAAAACTACTCAAAATCATTGCATTGTTTTTTTATCCTTATTGGAACTAGGTCCAGGCTAAGTGGGCTTGAATCTCATAAGCAAACCATCAACTCACGGTCTCCAAAAAAGAAAGATTTGTTCAAAAATGGATTATCCAATGCTTAGTTTATCACTTGTGAATTGCAACATGGCTTTTCCTTATCCCTAAAGGCTCTCTAGCCAGCTTTATTAGATTTACAATATATATCATGAACTAGGAAAAATTATCTTTTACCTAGTGTATAAAAATATGAAAAGACTTATGTGCCGAAAAAATTGAGGATTATTGAGAAGAGTAGAATTCTCGTAGACTAGTACTTAAAAAAAATAGTAGGGAGATTGTTAAAGGGGAATGAAAATGGTGGAAAAATAATTAAAGCTACCAAATGATTAAATATGAAATATAGGTTGAAAAGAACAATACTGAAGTCACTTTTGTAGGATGATCACTATAATGCTGTCATCGATGTCTTGGATTGACATGATCTTTTAGCATGTTATATCCAATCCGTCGATCTCCGTGGTCGTCTCTGATAAGCGCGCCGAAATCTCCTATCGATGACCTCATCACGAGTCCTTTCCATCGACAAGGCAAAAATTTTCGTGGCTTTGGTCCATTTGACACAAGGTCAAGCCCTATTTGTAGGCTTGGGATTTATGCAGAAACTTATGTAAAATTATAATATAGACGTATATACATATGCATAATCTAAAATTTGATGGAGTGCTTCTAAGTGAATGTTTTATCTGTATTGATACTTGAATGAGTTTCCGGTCATTCTTTAGTACAGTGTGTAGACCCGAACCTACCATGCTTGGGCTGTTTCCAAGCTAGCAAAACTTTATGCGGTTAGTTAGCAGATCAGATCACCCATCTATTTTGATAAGGTACAGTGTGAGCTGCAATTTAGAACAAAGATATGATGACTAATAAATTCAATCTTACAAGTAGTTTTATAATAAATTTCAGTTGAAAAAGACAATTGCTAGTCATTTGTGCTTTATTTCCATTAGATTTAAGATTCTGTAGAACTTGTAGTTTGGTCTTTTGGTAAAAAAATTACAATAGTCTCAAAAATAACTAACCCTGGCCTTATACAATACTACTAGCGTGTGCCATAAATTTTGGTATATTATTATACATGATTTCATTAGTAGCAATATTAGTGTTTCATATCAAACCAAGTAATATTAAGTTATTAACCTTTCAAGAAACACAATATAAGCTTACGGTTAGTTGTTCCTATTTTTAAAATAAGTTATACTCTTATGTTTGTTTACCAAGTTTTAAACTTTTTTTTTTCATGAATAATCCTCATATTTATTATTTCTTGTATGCAGTTTAAACTTGAGATACCACCCGATTGTATCTATTATTCTGACAGCTTAATCTCTTGATTCTTCAGGAAAAACACTATTTTTTGGACACTTGAACTAAGGTTTCATGATACTGGTGTTGTTCTAGTTCACCACAGGTGAGTTTCATCAATCAGTGTTGTTTGATATTGATTAGTCGCACTTCTCATTCTATAAATCACTGAAGAATTTAACATAAATGTGCATTTCTCTCTTTTTGTCCCATTATGGAATATAAGGATAGCAACTCTGTTCTTAATTATCTTGAGCTCACTTGACCATTATGAGACTGTTATGCGTCCGGCCCAAGAGGGGCCGGCGGAAGCCGTAATGGGGCCCACTTGCTTATTTAAACAGTGTTTAGGAGGAAAATCTTGAATTAGGGGCTGTTTAGGGTTTTGTAAGCCTCCTTTGGCCTTAATTAGTCTTTGGAGGTTAGGGTTATCTTGAGATTTGCTGAATTTTTGAGATCTAGGGTTTATTTGGGCTCTACGATTTGCTAGAGATTTTGGAGAGTATTTCTTCCTCTTGAATTAAAGAAAATTGTATCTTGCTTTATTTTTCTTGTTGGTTATTTGAATCAAAGATTCCCCCTTGTGTTTCAATAGTTTTTGCATCGTTCTTGCTGATTTTTCCTTGAAATCAGCCCTTTTACCCGTTGTTTTTGCCAATTCTTGTTAGGTTTGCTTGTGAACTAAACTATTACCCTTGGGGTTACTTGCGAACTCAAATACTTCCTATCAGAGACTTATGATAGTATAGTGGCTAACTCCATTGGAGCGTATGCTTGTGGTTGGTTCCAACCTGCCCTGCCTTGCTTCAAGTATATTATTTTTTAAGTACTAGAAACTATTAACCAAGAATCCAACCTTCCCAACCCCTTTGATCCTGTCCAAACCTAATTTACTTAATTTTTTTTAAGAAGGGTGGTTTTGCTACGTGCAGATTGTAAAATAGAAATTTTAGGTGGGCATGCGTGTATTTTTTTCAAAACCGTTTGATCTATTGAAAGTTTATATACCAAATGAGCTGGATTGGGAGTTTCTTCATCTTCTATATCCATCTGATTTTCATTTTTAGTGGAGGACAAGTGCCTTGTTGAATTATTGTTTTCTGGCTGATGATACATTTTGATATAAGTCCTAACATGATATCTTATTTCCTTCAGTGTAGATGAACATGCAAACTTATTATCTATATTTGTGAAACATCTTACACCTGGCCCCTGGAATCATAAGCTGAGGTCATTTTGCGAAGCCCAGTTGGATGATTTAAAGCTTTTCCTCCAGATAAATCCAAAGGTATTATTTTGCTGGAATGCCATGAAACATTTAGGCTTTATTTGAGACGATTTTCTTATTGCTTCTTAAATCAATTTTTTAGTAAAAAATTAAATTTTTTGTACAAAAAAACTGCTTTAAGAAGCAGAAAAAAAACCATCCCAAACGAAGCCTTGGTGGATCGAAAATATGCACAAGCTTCCTTATGCTCGTTAACTTTCTTCTTGCAGAACTCAAAGTCAACTTTCAGGAAATTGGACATAGAAGCACCAATAGGTTCACAGTTAGCCAAGATTGTGGTGCTCGAGCATCCCATCATTTTTGTTTATCTTCCTTCGCATGAAAATGGCTTCGAAGTTGAGGCATCTAGAATGCCTTTACTTAGAAACCCACCTCCTTCAACTTTTGATGGTATACCAAGCCACAATGGTACTTTATATAGGGTGGAGGAGGTTGAAGAAGGTGAAATGCCTTCTGATACAAGAATTACAGATCTTGTGGATTGCAGGAAATCTGAAGCCAATTGTAATGTACCTTCTAACACTTTCATCGCAAAGGAAATAGCAAAAGAAGATAAACAGATTACAGAGGCAAATACTGGAGTTGTCAAAGATCAAATCTCTGGAGAGGCTCAAGGAGAACAAGCTACAAACTCTCCTGAATCAGGAGAAGCGGTATTTTATTTTGAGAAAGAACTCAGGGATGCTTATTCTGATCTGATTGGAGAGATGAATCCTGATGATTTTTTGTGCTTAGATGGTGTTTATGAAGACAGTGTTGACTTGAGAGAAGGAAGATGGTATGACATTGAAGAAAGACGAAGGGGCGATGCAGAAGAACTAAGGGATCCTGAGTTGGATGAATTAAGAGATGCCTTTGAGGGAAGGAAAGGGGATGGCTTGGGAGAAAAAGAAGAGAATGACGACTTGAAAGTAAGAAGAAATGGTGATCTGGAAGAAAAAAGGGTGGATTCATTTCTTTCTGGTGGGTTTTCCTTCGGGGAAATGGAATTAGAGGAGGGTGAGATCCCTTGTTTTTCTCAGTAACATTAGCCATTTCGTCACAGTGAAACAACATTTATTTATTGAAGATGGCTTAAACTGTTAGAATTCAGCACTGCTCCATTTGTTTGATTCTTTGAGCTCCATTTATTATGTTCGGACGTCAAACGTTATCTGGAGATCAACCAAAATGTGTCACGCTATCCTTCGCTTGGTACTGCGGCTCAGTACCGCTGACATGACGCATTTTGATTGGTCTTCGGACTGCTGCGTCCAGCCTCTGCACAAAATAGTTTTTCCATATATTGACATATATTTGACATGTATGTAATATATATTGATTAAACTAATAATAAGTATAATCATATATATACGCTTGACATGCATGTCTTAAAAAAATCAATCAAAATTTTATTAAAAAGCTCATTTCTATTTTGTATTTGTCTCGAGAGCTCTCACAATCTTCTAGTTCGACCTTTTCTTTTCTTGCATGTTTGGCGAACTTTCTTTTCTTGCATGCTTGGCTAGGATTTGGTTTAACATTGCGGAATTCGGTCATTGGCTTCTAAAGCTCGACTCTCGCATATTTGTCTCCAAAATTTTTTCTATACTAATTCGCCAAAGCTCAACTTCAAAGTTCGATGATTCTTGCTCTTCTCGATGCCAAGCCGAGTCTAGGTGGCGGCTAAATCCTCTCCTCTCTTGCCAAAGCCCGACGTCCTTCAAATAAACATTAAATAGTCAAAGTGAATGTAGATGAATCTTTCAACTAAATAGTTCTTCACCATAAGAGCTATTTAATTGCTTATATATATTTGGAATATTGTGTAATGTATAATGAAAAATAATAAATTTTATGCATTATTTTTAAATTTTAAAAAATAAAAAATTATGATATCGTGCTAAATGTATGTTCGTGTCCTATATTTTTAGATATATATATATGTCTTAGGCCTGTATCATGTTGTGTTAGTTTCCCTGTATCTATATTAGCTCATCCTATATTCATATTCAATTCTCTTTAAATTTTTTTTTTCAAATTTGAACAAATTAAATTATAAATTTACACACATTATATATATAAATATTAAATGTAAATTTTTTTTATTGGAAACTTTAACTCTCAACTTTTAAGTCAAGAATGCTCCTTGTATTTATAAATTTAATTAATTGAATTGCAGGTTATCGCTGGCTGCTGGCCTCTTTTCGGGCATGTTTAATTGTAAACGTTTTAAATGCAAAGCTTAAATGTTTTCAACTATCAATGTGAAAGTACTGTGTTATAATGATCTGTCGTCGTCGATTGTTTGCAGATTTTTTTTTTTTTTTTGGGAAAAATGGGGGCAAAGTCCCTTAAATTAATCACCAAAGGTTACAAGTAAAAAAAAAAGAAATACAAGTATAGAAAACTATACCACCCAAAAGAAAAAGAAATTTGCAGAAATAGAGGACTCAAGAAAATAGATCTACATCAAATGGCATTAATGCCCAAATCATAAAAGAAACCCACAGAGCCAATAGAGACACTGGTTGCCCATGAAGCCATCATAGCCAAAAAGAGGGCCATCACAGTGCCCAAATGACGCAATCCTGGTTGCCAAATGACCGTCCAAGGATGCATCGAAGATGTAGATCTAGCTCATCATCGTCCCAATTCTGCAAGCATCCGACCGAAGCAGCACGTGAAGAGTCTGAGGAAGGGAAACTACCCAAGCTCCATCCAATTGATAATCAAAACGAAGATGCCAAAAAATTTCAGGATAATAAAATTCAGCCCAACAGCAGCCGGAAACATCCCACTTAGGGATAAAAAATTGACTAGAATATATAAACGCCACCATCCAGAAAAAGACAGCTTACTAAAATAGGCTGATCAAATCAGAATTTCACCAAAATGTTCTTTGAGCAAATCATAATGCCTCCAATTTCTAGCTTTAGCAAAAATAGCATGAATAATAACTCTTTTGAGCTCATCAGACCTTCTCCAAACACTAGAGAACCGTCTATTGTTTCTTTCTCTCCACAGGAAATACACCAAAACAGCAACAGTAAAATAACAGAAGTTTATATCCACCTTGGTAAAATTCCGATAACTCCCAAAAAATTCAAAAACTTGCAGAAGATTCGGCCTTAAGTAGAATTTAGCCATATCAGGAAAAATAGCCATGAGTAAAAGGAATGAGAAATTGCATTAAAAAAAAAAAAACATGAGAGTGAGATTCCAAGTTGCCAATACAGAAAGAGCAGGAGGGATTAACCTGAATGCCCCTCAAATTAAGAATGTCCGCCATCAATAATTTACCTTTAACAGCCATCCAAGTGTAAGAGGCATAATATAATATCAAAAATCTGCTCCAGGATCGTCCAGGACGATCTGGATCGTTCTGGGACGATCAGTGGAAAGTTTGCTCCAGATTTTGCCCAGTTTTGCTCCAGGTGATTTTTTTGTACACATCGTCCAGGCCGATTTGGACATCGTCCAGGCCGATCGGCACTGTAGAAAATATCGGCCTGAGAATAGTTCTGGGAATCGTCCAGGGCGATCGGGACGATCGAATTTTGGTCTGATCGTCCCGGGACGATCTGGCGATCGGCCGGGCCGATCTGAAGGTTATAAAGCTGAAATCAGTCGTTTTGAAGAGAGAGAAAAATCAAATTAAAA